GCTGCAACGTGCCATATGATGGCAGCTTCAGTGCGCGCTCCTTCAAATTTAGTTCATTAGCTTTGCTAGAATTTTGATGAAGCTGCGAAGGATTATGCACAGAATAATGCCGTGAAGTTCAGCGAATTGATAAACTTTTTTGACATATTACAATCCTGCATTCTTGAAGATGTACACAAACCCTCCTTACCACACTAGTCGTGTACGTCTTCATCCTCAAATTTCGTGATCTCCTTGGTTTCGGCATTCCGAGTAACTCTTTCGATGTTCTGCGACACTGTAGTTAGAATTTTAAAATCAAATAAATCTGTGCAACTTTTTCATGTTAAAATTACTCCAAAATCGAGGAAGTTTTTAAAGTCAGCCCGTAAACTTTCTCATTTGTCACTCCTTTTTCTTGGAATCTTCATCTTTCGCTAAATTTGCTTAGCGGATTCTATTCAGGTTATTTGCGGGCAACATATACATTTCGCAGGATAGGTTACGGCAGGAGTACGAGTAGACGATCTTGTGGAACGCAGATTCACAGCGGGTTAGTGGGGTTGCTTGACGTTTTAATTATGAAAATGTAATTACTTTTATCGTAGTAATTAACGTGACCTCATTGTGGGATGGGAATAGGAAGACAAAAAGCAAGGAAAAAGTATAATGTGTGAAGGGAAAATTTGAACAACCTTGTAACTGCCTCTCGAAATAATTTTTTCTTGCGGAATTGACATGGTTCTCGTGATTAGATAACCTAATTAGACCAGTTTCGGGCTAACCTTGACTTTTACCACTTTAATGTGCGCCTCCTCGTGATGATCTACCACCACGTGGCGCAGAGGGATCCTGGGTACCATACTGCGAAGAACAGCGGAGGTTAATCTTCCAGCGGGGTTTCCTACAAAGGCGACACTGACGGCTCTCCGAATGCCTAGTTAAAAATGGGCACGGTCAGAAGCGCCGCCGTTGACTGAGTTAGCTGCTAAGTGGTTCAATCCACCTAGGTCGGCAATTACCCGTAGTAAAAGCTTGGTAACCCTGGCAAGGCTGCTAATTTTGGGGATTAATTCTATTGCCTGCACAGCATGCGAAAGGAAAAAAGCCGTGCATGCTGGACCAAATCTCCGGCTTCGTATGTTCAAGATCAGTGTAGGTTGTACAGGACGCTAGGGATCTCGGACCAAGAGGACACGACAACGGCTCGTTACGGAGATTGTTTTATGCTCTGCACCTACAATGCTAGGACAGTTTTCACCAGACCAATTTTTACGGTCTTCTCGAAGCTGCAGAGCTCATCCTACTTAATCGCCTTGCAGGAAACAAAGTCTAGGAAGACGGACGTGAGCCAGCTAAATGATGACACACTTATCATTCGTGGTGAAAAAGTTCCATCATGGAACGTTGAGGGCGTTTGTGTACACCCATCTGTTGTCCATCTTTTCGATTCGCATGAGATCTATCACCTTGCCTAGCTATCCTTCGGCTCCGTCCTCTGCATCAAAAACCCACCATCAGTTGCATTTCTCCAACTTCAGCAACTGATGATTCCAAACTTGGTGCTTTTTATGAGGATTTGGAGGAAGTCATCTGCAAAGGAAAATTCTTTTATAAGTTCGTCGTGGGTGACTTCAATGGGAAAATCGGGATGTCAGAAGAAGGGGAGCATAGGATCGGGAGATTTGGAACAGGATCCGGAATGAGAACGGGCAACCGTCTTGTTGGGCTCACTCGCCGCATGACTTATTAATGGCAACTCCATCTTCATGGAGAAAAAACACCGGTGATGGACACGGGAGCCACCCAACGTTACGACTCATGAGAAGACCAATCAAATCACAAACCAAAGGTGGTGCTTATGAACGTCTCAGTGGTACCATCTCAGCAGTGGTTCAGGCCACCGTCTCCCTCGAGCAAAAGTGGGAATTAGCCGAAAGTTGGAAAAGAGGATTTGTCATCGTGTTGGAGGAAGAAGAGAAGTCGCATATGGCAGCTCAAATTGGAGAAGCTCCCGGTCACTTGACTGGCTTATCGAGAAAGAGTCAACGAAGAACCACGACTTGTTTAGAAGACTGAGAGCCTATGGTTAAAATGCTTAAACAAACGTGGAACGAATCTCGAAAGTCACCAAGGATTTGCTTGAAAAGAGTAGATCACTAAGGTTAAATCTGACTGCATCACATCTTAAGTGGGGGGTAGCCACTAACAGTTGCACAACAGCAGTGCAAGAAGATCTTTGAAAATATAGGCAATCGAGACTTTTGGAAGCAGCACAAGGAAGAAAAAGTTCAAGGGAGTACGGTATCCTGCTAACAACATTAATAAACGAAAAGGGGCTAACAGATCTGCCTGGCAGTGAGTGGGATCGATAAGAGATCCCACATTAATCTCTTCCGCTCATCAGCACCCGTGTCAAATCCCGTTCTTTACTCGACAAATACCATTACGGGTTCTACATGCTGAAGTACGCCAATCTAGGCCATTAAGGCAGCCAAGGCTTTATGGCCTGGATTGCGGCGCATACTTCAGCAAGTAGAATCCTTACTGGTATTTCGGCCGTTTGGCCAACTTCTTACAACCTGAAGGGCATCGCATACAGAGATACCTGCGGCGCATCTAACGCCTTGCTTTCAAGGAAAGGATCTCAGGCTAGTGGAGAATCTCCCGAGCAATCCTTCTTCATTAGAAGGGCGATAGGGAGGATCTTTAAAACCACCGTCCAACATGCCTGCTGGCGTGCTTACAAGCTATTCACGTTATCCTCACTCGCATAGGACACTGGATGAAGCCCATTCTGTAGAATAAGGTGAGAGGATTCAGGTGCGTGGATCCAGACGCGAACATCATCGAAGATTGCCAAAAGTATCACCAACCTCTCGTCCTGACCTTCGTCAACTATGAGATAGCTTTTGACAGCGTCGAGGCTAATGCCACATGGCAGCGCTCGTTGACCGAGGGATAGGCCCATCTAACCCGACTGCTACACTGCTCCATAGGTACCGCTTTTCCATCGCCTCCTTAGTATAACTATTTCAAAAAAGACAGGCGACACCACATCGCCAAAGCTGTTTCTGGCCTTGCAGTGGGTAATGAGTAATGTCATTGTAAGAGGTACACAAGTTGATATAAGACTCCTCTCTCACGTTTTGCAGCACCGTTCTCTTTTCGAGGAATACCAGTGAGCGGATATGATATTGAAAGAACTAAACGTAGGGGAGCAGATAGGACTG